GATCTAGTGTGCAGAGACATTCGTAAACTTCCTCAGGCGTAATAACGATATCCTGAAGTGTGTCAATGGTATTATAGTTTTCTTGGTCGAGGTGACGACGTGAATCGTGGCATTGGGCAGTGTTAAAGACCGAGAAAAAATAACGGTTGAATACATTTGCAATGTCCGCAGGGTTGTCAGCAGCGATATGATCTAGTCTTAAGTGTTCGGGTAAGGAGTTCCAGGTTCTAGTTGCTCTAATAAAAAATGACCGTTGATAGTTGGCTGTCATATATCTACGAGGACGGTACGAGATAACACTGTTATTTGAAGATGATCGAGTAGGCCTTGAGGGAGTAGATCGTTTTGGCAAGATTTCCTTCGGAACAGTTATAATATCTTTTGTGGCCTTAAAAAAGAACATCAATTCAAGATACACTTGCCAATAAGAGACTGGTAACAGATTTTTAAAATCAATCTGTCTTTGTAGGATTCTGTACACGTGAAGGGCAGCTTAAGGCAGGGCCGCCGAGAGGTTGGCGGGGGCCCGGGGCAAATTTTTTTTGGGGGGGCCCTATCTAAATTTTTTTAGGATGACAACTTCCCCCCCCCTAGCCCCCCTTTCTGCGGCCCTGGCTTAAGGATACACTTTGAAGCTCGACGTTGAACGCGCTCTGTCTTTCTGACTAGTTCAATTGACGGTCACCAAACTTGTGTGGGGTAGCCTAATGCAAGACGCACAATTGCCAGGTAGAACGGTGCGGCGGATTTTTGGATTTTTGACTTCCACAGCTGATCTGCGCAGGAAGCCAAGCAACTTGTTAGCCTTGGCACAACGGTCAAAGGTGTGTTTTGACCAGGTAAGCGCACCAGTAACCCAAATACCTAGGTCTTTCTCTTCCGATGAAATTTCCAGTAATTTGCTATTTATCTCGTAGGAGAAGTCGATCGGGTTCTTTTTCCTGGTAATTTGCTGAAGCTTGCACTTGTCTTGATTAAATACAATCCCGGAATTAGTTGACCAATTGCCCAGACTATTCAGATCACTCTGAAGCAAGCTAGCATCCGAAATGGAGTCAATGCACTTAAATACCTTAGTGTCATCTGCGAAAGATGAAACCTTGGAGTTCTTTACGGCATCTGGAAGGTTGTTCACGTAGAGGAGGAAAGTATAGGGCCTAATTTTGAACCTTGTGGTACTCCTGACTGTACAAGTTTTTCAGAGGAGGTGGCGCCTAGCACAGTAACGCGTTGCCTACGGTCTAACAAGTAGGTCTTGAACCAACAGAGCAAGTTACCAGAAATGTTGAAGCAGTTGTTTAGCTTATTGAATAGGGTTTATGGTTAACTTTGTCGAAGGCTTTTGATATGTCCATATAGATAACATCTGTTGGCTTACCAGCATCCAGCAAGGACCCAATGTAATCTTGTACCGCTAACAGTTGGGTTGTACATGATTTTCCCGGAATGAATCCGTTTTGAAAACAGTTGATCAAATCTAGAAAGTGATCTCTTGCATTTCTAAGCACACACCGTTCCAAGACTTTAGATATGACACTGAGGAGTGCGATGGGTCTATAGTTCTCAACATAACATTTATCTCCATTTCATGCACAGGGACGATGTTCGCAAGCTTCCAGTCGTCAGGAAAAACGCCACAGCTGAGTGAACTATTAAAAAGCTCGGACAGTGATGGTGCAATCTGTTGTGCAGTCTCTTTAAGAAGTCGAGGAGGAATGCCGTCGGGACCTGTGGCCTTGTTGGGGTCGAGAGCTACAAGTGAATTTAGAACTTCCTCGGTTGTTAGGAAAATATCAGAGAGAGAGCGTGTTCTGGAGTTGGAGACGTAATGAGAGGCGGGGACAGATGCCCTTCCGATTCGGAGCGGTTGAAGACTTACGCAAAGTAGTCATTAAACATTTCTTAGATAGTAACAGGGGTGGATGCGGAGCGAATTTTGGACTGAGCACTGTACCCCATCATCCTTCCCAAGTGACATGGTTTCAGAAATTCTAGACTCTTTCCTGCTAAGCTTAAAGATCGACCATAATCTCTTTGGGATTAACACAAAGTTATGTACAAGTGTTCAATTTGTTTACACAAAGTGCAGAAATTTTAATCGACCACAAATTCCTCGTTTGTAATATCCTAACATTTTCTGGCAGTAACTGTTTATTTATAGAGTTTCATTCGTGAATATTTCTTCCCCAGACTATATACCTTTCTCCAGCAATGCGTTTTGTCAACGATTGTATTTTAGAATGCAACATACGACAAGGAGACTCAAAATTACTCACAAACTTTATTAAGGATTGTTGAACCTAATCCCCAATGCCCCCGCATAATTTTATAGTGTGAGAACTTATAAAGAATTTGAATGACCGCGGGCAAGCGTTGGGAGGGAGTAAGTTACACACACTTTTTAAAGCGTCACTAATGTGTTCAATTTTCCTCTGCATGTTTTGTAACTGGAAGATTTTCCAGAGAGGACACCGTGTTAAAATTGGGCTCGGGTTTCCAATTATTGAAACGCGCGATTGGCAGCTGCTAATAAGAATCCATTGACAATTAAATCAGAAAAAAAAAGCTTGGCAGGAAGAGGTACAGATTAATGTAAAATTTACAATGGTTATATTTACCACGGCGCTTCTTACTTATTTTGGTTGTTCAGTTCTTACATCTATGTTTTCTCTGAACTTATTTTGTGTTTTAATATATAATAAAATTACTTTAATTGTATATCCAGTGTAAAAAATACAAGTATTTTGCAGACCGAAAGCGAATGTTCGATCGATACTGATAATCCTGAACTAAATGCCATCCAATTCCAAATTATAAAACGATTTAGTAATGCTCACGCAGTGTGCTCACCTTACACCAGTGGTTCATCCAGAATACATAAAATATGGACATATATAAATCAAAAATAATCTGAATGTTAGCAGGAAAAAGAAAACAAATATATTATAGTCATTTTAAATGATTAGTCGTTTCTATGGTGTGTCAGATGAGATAGTGGGAAGTAATGGGTTTCCAATAACAAAAAATCAGTATTTATCTCTACCATGAGGTTATGTTTTCGTCCGCTTTTACCTGTTTGTCAGCACGACAACTCAAAAAATGTCAAATGCATTAATACAACATATATATATGTTCATGGGCCCAGTGGACATTGCCTGGGAGAAAATTGATCGAACCCCGATTAAATTTGGATGGAAATTGGATGAGAAATGAGGAAACGTTGGTCTTGGTTTGCCAGGCACTGCAAACTAAATGCGTAATTAACGCATTGAATAATTTATCCACATTACAATACTGGATTCACTGGCAGATCTCCGAGTCTGTGCAGTCTCTGAGTGCATGCCCTCTTTTAGTTTATTGTTAATTTATTATTCCCATTTATCATAGCTATCGTCTACATCAACCTATTCAATGCCGGATATTCTCGGATTATACATCTGAAAGCACTGCTCATTGGCATTGGCGTATAGTTTCAAGGTTGTAAAGGGTTTCTGCATATACGTAAGATGTTTGGGAACACTAGCATTTGCAACCTTAATGGAAGCAAGATCCTCTTTAACCATAGAACTACAACAACTTTCAAATGGTTTTGGGACGGTGGCGGTTTTGATCACAACAGATGTGTGCAAATTATTACAAACATTTAAATATCGTACATACATGAGAAAAATCATTTAAAAGAACGACAATACAAATAAAATGTAAAGATCGTAACCATCCATAACACCGAATTTAATGCGAAACACGCGAATTTATAGAGAAACATGTGAATTGCTTCATAGCTCAAAATAGCTCGTATTCCAGCGTGTTCCCAATAAGAGCCTGGGTACGAGGTTGGCGTGTTCCAGGTATTCCAGGTGCGGTTCCGGGTGTTCCGTGTGGGGTTCCGGATTTTACAGACACCTAAAATTAGCGGGCAACTTAATTAATTTTACATAGTCAATAAAGAATCTGTTTGTATATTTAGGGTGATAAGATCACGCAAAACCAAAGTTAACGTCCATATCGGCATAAATGAGATACTAATTTGTAAGAAACAATGAGAGATATTTTGTAGAAAGTGAATGTTCCAAGACGGCATAATGCATAACATAACAAAACCTTTTTTCTGCGTTGGTGTAATGTACTCAGGTGAATATGATGCTCATAATGTTACTCTTAGTGTATATCCACACCGGCCAAGCTTGAAAAATATGCCTGACCACGGTGGGAATCGAACCTACGACCTTTGGCATACCAGCCCAATGCTCTGCCAACTGAGCTACGCGGTCAGGTCGGTTCGAGTGTGTGATACTTCTGAATAGAATGTAGTTCCTTCGATATATCAATGTAACCTATAGTAATCATGACTTTTTCTGTGTTGGTGTAATGTACTCACGTGAATATGATGCTTGTGATCAACTCTGAGTGTATATCCACACCGAGCAAGCTTGAAAAGTATGCCTGACCACGGTGGGAATCGAACCTACGACCTCTGGAATACCAGCCCAATGCTCTGCCAACTGAGCTACGCGGTCCGGTCGGTTCGAATATGCGACATTTCGGAACAGAATCTAGTTCCTTCGATATCAATATACCTATCAATCCAGATATCAAGGTAACCTAGATTTTGATCCGAAATATCACACACCCGAACCGACCTGACCGCGTAGCTCAGTTGCCGGAGCATTGGGCTGGTATTCCAAAGGTCGTAGGTTCGATTCCCAGAGTGGTCAGGCATATTTTTCAAGCTTGCCCAATGTGGATATACACTGACATGCAGTAACATCACAAGCATCATAACAAAACCTGACAAATGTACTGTAAATTAATTATAATTTGAACAGGTATTGGTGAAGGCTTTTGTTTACAGAATATTCTTGTTTAGTTTACACTTCCAATAAAAATTATTAATATCTTATTTCTTATGCCATGCACCCATTAACTTGCTAATACAACTAAAGGCACCGCTCAACCTGCCCCTGGATTTTTGAGCCTGTTGCAAGGCATTCACTGTATAGAAAAGCTTTTTAAAGGAGAATGGCCCAAGACAACAAGTGCTGTAAACATTAAACATTACATTCCAATCATGACATTACACAAATTATTACAGTGCATGAGCATGTTTGGCCCAACGGACAGTATACCCATTTTTACCTTAAATATTCAATGACGTGACTTCATGTCATACACTCAATCCTCTTCACGTTTGTCTCTCCAAATATGTCTTTACTAAAACTCTTCTTAGTATAAGCACAATGAAAAAATGAAAAAATTAACAATTATTCGCCGAAGGCGAAGTAATTACCGGTGAATATTCACCGAGACCAAGTCTAGGTGAATATTCACCGTAATCACTGAGCCTGAAGCGAATAATTGTTTTAGTATAAATTTTTAATGAATAAAACAAAATATCCAAATATCAGTTTAATAAATAAAATTCAGAAATGAAACTGTCCCCGGTCAGTTTTACGGTTACATTTTTAGTGTTGAAGTGTTTCTTGTACATGGACGCACACCTTCAAAATGGCTTCCTCTGTGATTTTATTGCTTTATTACAGTTTGTTTTTCTCGATTTCTGCTTAGAAAATAAACACAATGATGCGATGACTTTTTCACCAGACTAAAGAATAGTTTCTGTTTAGCATTAATTTGTTCAGGAAATGGCTGAGAAAAGTGGTAAAGTGGAATGTAAAACAATTGCACAAATGCCTCGAAATAAAGTTTTAATACACTTTTCACTTTTTATACGAGTTTCGAAAACACAATACAGCAGCAGGACACCATACAGCACAATGAAAACATGACATATCAAAATAAATAGTATCGTACAAATTGAGATATCTATAGGGTACAAAACAGAATAAAAGAATATCACGGCAAGGTTTTGCCCAACAGTCGGGATAGTTTTTTTTATTTGTTTGAAGTGAATGTTTCGGAGTTTTAACTAAAAGTTTTAAATTGTCCGTGAATATGTTTGACACAGTAAAATAACAAAGGAATCCCATCTTTCAAGTTAAATACAACATTTTCTGCTTTTTTCGTTTTCTGGGGACGATTATTTCAATATTTCGTCGATTTTGAAACCAAACTTGCCGAATCAATGCCAATGGGAATCGTTCTTTTTGAAAAGCATTATTTATTAGTCAGGTGGTAAATAATGCGTCAGATTTACCAGTCAATTAGCCAATCAGAACGGGCGAAAGCTCATTTGATATGCAAAATTTATACTAACAGTTGATATATTATTTCCTTGTGGTAACATATTATTTTTTAATTTTAGATTCAAATATGTCAAATGTGCCATGGGAAAGCGAAGAAAAACGCAACTACATTTGTATCCAAAATATCATCATTGATGTTGTAAGTGAAGGATTGCGGAAAGTTTTTAAAAAGGAATGGAACACTCGTTATCAGGCAAGCTTCGGAGCATGGGATGACACCAATGTAAGTGGTCAGCAGTTGTTTCACCTGGAAAATACACGGCCCGACCAAACAAGAACATGTACCAGGCAAAATTTCAACATGGAGACACAAATCAGTGGGATTGCTCTGTGCTTTTTGATGCCATTCTGTATTCCAACTCGATCGGTAAATCAAGTCTGAATCCAACAATTAGGACTGAAGTGGGCAATATTCGAATTATGCGAAATAAAATTATGCATGCTGATGAAACAACCGTATCTGATACTGACTTCCAAACCATGATCAGTGATGTTGAAAATATATTTATAACACTCGGTCTTCCAGTTAATGAAATCACGCAAATGAAAATTGAGAGAAACCTTTACAAATCATTTCAAGTTTTACCTACAAAACCAACCCACGAAGTTGTTTACCGTGGTGAGAAAGCCAACGAAATAAAACAAGAACTCCAAACGTTACGAATTAATTGCGATGGCAAACTTACATATTTATATATTTCTGGAATTCCCGGAAGTGGAAAATCGCAGCTATCCCGGCAACTGTGCGAGAATTTGTTCAATGGCGTAAATTTGGAAACAGAGACAACATTTGTAATGACATTGAATGCAAAAGATTTAGATTCTCTTCTTGACGGGTACGAAGATTTTTGTCGACGTCTAAATTGTTCTGAAAGTGTATTGATAAATGTAATGAATTCATGCAAACAAAAAGATGGAAAGATCAAAGATTTACGATCACTGATTGAAAACAGAATCAAGAATTGGAAAATGTGGTGGATTATAGTAGACAACGTGGAACATTTCGAGGACATTTCACCCCTACTACCTCAAATGGGTGACAAAGTTTGGAATAATGGTCAAATTATATTAACAATACAGAATACAACTGCAGTTCCTTCTGACAGTGCTTTTACTAAACATATTTCTCTCAGTCGTGGTATGAAGGACCAAGAATGTCGTCAGTTACTTTTCTTATTGTCAGGAACTGATGCTAATGATACACTGTTAGATGAAGTTGCTGAGAAGTTAGATCACCAACCTTTGGCTATGGCTGCTGCAGCTGTATATTTTAAAAAAGTAATCGACACAAAGTGTGGTCCAAAATTTTCCTGGCATGATTATTTAGAGAAGCTAAAAGGTAAAAGAGAAGTAACAGAAGAACATCTTCTCAAAATCAGTTCTGCTTATCCATCCACCATGTCGGCGGCGGTGTACCTAGTTGTTGAAAAATCTGCAGAAAATAGTTTCGTTTTAAAGCACACATTCTACCTTTTTTCTCTGATATCCTTTGAACCACTGCCAGTTGATATTATTGTCGAATACATTCAGCGGCTTGATCAAAACTGTGATAAAGAGGATATTTATCTGGCGTTGAAAGAGTGTTCCCTTTTTCTTTTTACAGAAAAAGATTTGGATGTTCGTCTACATCGTGTTGTCCAAGAAGCAATTAAATCATTTAGTGATTGCAAAGAAACTGAAACTAAAGACAACTCTTGCAGTACTACTGCTAATATTGACATTGCAAGCAGAGTTCAAAATGTCGTCAGAGCCCTTTACTCTTTCAAAATCAGGGATGATAAAATCAAGATGATTGCACATTTGAAAGCATTTAATGCAGCAGTTGAAAAACTATTTCCTCCAAAAAACTCATTATATTTAATTAGCTTAGGCTTCGAAAAACGTGAAATTTATCAAATATATCTGTTTTTTGGGCAAACTTTAGAATACTACTCTGAGTTGAAACTCGCTGTGGCATTTCATAATGTAAATCTTCAGATCTGGACAGGATCTGCAGAAGAGCACAATTATGAGCGTTGTATATTTCCCCACCTCGGCACATTATACTGGAAAATGGGCGATTTCAAACAGGCTTTACATTATCATCAACGAGCACTGGAAATTCAACAAAAACAACTAGGTTCAAACCATGTTGATGTTGCAGCTTCTTATAACAACATTGGATTGGTGTGTGGTGATAAAGGTGAGCTGGACCAGGCTAAAGATTACCATCAACGAGCACTGGAAATTCAACAAAAACAACTAGGTTCAAACCATGTTGATGTTGCAGCTTCTTATAACAACATTGGATTGGTGTGTGGTGATAAAGGTGAGCTGGACCAGGCTAAAGATTACCATCAACGAGCACTGGAAATTCAACAAAAACAACTAGGTTCAAACCATGTTGATGTTGCAGCTTCTTATAACAACATTGGTGCGGTGTGTCGTGATAAAGGTGAGCTGGACCAGGCTAAAGATTACCATCAACGAGCACTGGAAATTCGACAAAAACAACTAGGTCCAAACCATGTTAAAGTTGCAGCTTCTTATAACAACATTGGTATGGTGTGTCGTGATAAAGGTGAGCTGGACCAGGCTAAAGATTACCATCAACGAGCACTGGAAATTCGACAAAAACAACTAGGTCCAAACCATGTTCATGTTGCAGCTTCTTATAACAACATTGGTACGGTATGTCGTGATAAAGGTGAGCTGGACAAGGCTAAAGATTACCATCAACGAGCACTGGAAATTCAACAAAAACAACTAGGTTCAAACCATGTTGATGTTGCAGCTTCTTATAACAACATTGGTGTGGTGTGTGGTGATAAAGGTGAGCTGGACCAGGCTAAAGATTACCATCAACGAGCACTGGAAATTTGACAAAAACAACTAGGTCCAAACCATTTTAATGTTGCAGCTTCTTATAACAACATTGGTATGGTGTGTCGTAATAAAGGTGAGCTGGACAAGGCTAAAGATTATTATCAACGAGCACTGGAAATTCGACAAAAACAACTAGGTCCAAACCATGTTGATGTTGCAGCTTCTTATAACAACATTGGTGTGGTGTGTCGTGATAAAGGTGAGCTGGACCAGGCTAAAGATTACTATCAACGAGCACTGGAAATTCGACAAAAACAACTAGGTCCAAACCATTTTGATGTTGCAGCTTCTTATAACAACATTGGTATGGTGTGTCGTGATAAAGGTGAGCTGGACCAGGCTAAAGATTACCATCAACGAGCACTGGAAATTCGACAAAAACAACTAGGTCCAAACCATGTTCATGTTGCAGCTTCTTATAACAACATTGGTACGGTATGTCGTGATAAAGGTGAGCTGGACAAGGCTAAAGATTACCATCAACGAGCACTGGAAATTCAACAAAAACAACTAGGTTCAAACCATGTTGATGTTGCAGCTTCTTATAACAACATTGGTTTGGTGTGTGGTGATAAAGGTGAGCTGGACCAGGCTAAAGATTACCATCAACGAGCACTGGAAATTCGACAAAAACAACTAGGTTCAAACCATTTTGATGTTGCAGCTTCTTATAACAACATTGGTGTGGTGTGTGGTGATAAAGGTGAGCTGGACCAGGCTAAAGATTCTATCAACGAGCACTGGAAATTCGACAAAAACAACTAGGTCCAAACCATGTTAAAGTTGCAGCTTCTTATAACAACATTGGTGTGGTGTGTGGTGATAAAGGTGAGCTGGACCAGGCTAAAGATTACCATCAACGAGCACTGGAAATTCGACAAAAACAACTAGGTCCAAACCATGTTGAAGTTGCAGCTTCTTATAACAACATTGGTATGGTGTGTCGTGATAAAAGTGAGCTGGACCAGGCTAAAGATTACCATCAACGAGCACTGGAAATTCGACATAAACAACTAGGTCCAAACCATGTTGATGTTGCAACTTCTTATAAGAACATTGGTAGGTGCGTCGTGATATAGGTGAGCTAGACCAGGCTAAAGATTATCATCAATGAGCACTTGAAATTCAACAAAAGCAACTAGGTCCAAACCATGTTGATGTTGCAACTTCTTATAAGAAACTGGTCATAAAGGGGGGTGGCTGGAAAAAACAGGATGTGGTAGATCGAATTTTGGATTTCTAATTTTAACAGCAGTTTTGGGATGGGTCATAGTAAAATGTGCTTGATTTATATAAATTTCAAAAGGTGGTGAACGTTATTAAATATTATCTTTTATTTTTACAAAACATGGTTGGAGAAATGTCAATGAAGAAATACAATATGTATTAAACACAAAGTTGCGGAGAATATATATTTGCATTTAATCACGGCTAATTTATCACGGTTTTATCAGGGATAAATAAAATAAAGGGGAACTCCAGTCCAAATACAAGTGTGGTTTATATGAAAGATCTTCCCCTTATTAGAATGTTCCTCAAGTATTTCGGTCTAAATATTAATAGTAAAGGAGAAATTGCTTGTCAAAGTTTGCGATTTTGTCAAATTTGGGCGCCATGTTGTTCTTTTCACTGCAGACTCGGATTTGTCCAGCGCCCTCATTTTTGACGTCATTGCGTGCTTCGAAGGTGTTGTTCATATAGAAAACTATGGCTTTGTATGGCGATTTAATAAGATATCGATTATTTCTCTGCTTCTAATTCTTTAATTAATGTGAGTTTAGACCGATTTAACAGAGATATTTTACAGACGGAGATATTTTACATTGCCGAGCTTCTGTCTAAGGTGAATCAAGAGTTGCCAGGTCATGTTCATGTTGGTGTACGGAAAGCTTGCGCAGAATTAAATAATTATATGTTGCGGTTGTTGCCCTGTGTGGATCTGGCTCTTGTTGGACTCTCGGATCCAATTTGCCTGAATATCGATGCTGCGTTTGCGTTCAGCAACGATTTATCGGTTGATGAGACTTCTGTTTAGACTGTTTGCTCATGTATGCGAGCAATAAGATTAATTGCGGATTTGCGGTTTAGTATCGGGTATTTCACTGAAAGTCACAGATATACAGTAGTCGTGGCCATGGATTTATATCAATTTTAATCGAAGAGAGGTGAGAGAGAAGAGAGTCGTTACTCGTATGAATGAATGCATGGGTATCTTTTACTGCTAACATGTCTTTAATCATTTGTTTAAGTTTGCGAATTGAATCAGCCTGTCCTTGAGTTAGGGCTTGAAGCTGACTGCTACAAGCAGTTTCAGTCGCTGAAAACATTTTGTTATTCATTGTGCAATTACGGTAAATAGACGTCTTACTTTTAGCGATTCTTTGACTTGCGAGTTTGCGTCAAGGCATTTGCATATATGAAATGAATCTAGACATCAATAATATAAAATAATGTTACCTAGATAATTCTGAGGGCAGACTACATGCTGGGCTACTATCATGTCGCATGACAAGCTGTGGCTACTATCATGTCGCATGACAATGTATATTTGTCTGTTGGCTGTAACCTGAAGTTCAGGTGATGCTATTTAAATAAAGTACGATGAGATTTAAAAAAAAAAGACAATCCTTACAAAAGAATTGTTTTATAACAGACAGACAAGCACAGGGTTTTAAACATTCGTTGTAGTGTTGGGTTCAATATGGTTATATGGGTTTTATTTATACACGACAGTGTCAAGTTACTAGTAAGGACTAAGTACCCACATGAAATGTTTATACGCAGTTGTTGCGATGGTTTAACAGGTTTATAGTTTACTGTTATTTTATATAAACTGTCTTAAATGCAACATGCCTATGAATTTTTTGGTTCGGAACACTGTCACAGACTATTTCAGAAATCTCAGAACCTAGTTAGTAACCAACATTCAACAACCTCACTTTCCGCTACTCCAGTATATTATTGCTAGATGTTTCAGCCTTGCCCAACCGATTTTAAGTTTTTAACTACGATTGATATATTTTCAGCAAGTCGGAACAAGAAAATCCATTTCGCAAATTTGCACAATATTCAATAAGTATCTAGTCAAACGAGAGTCAGATGCCCAGATCCGCAAGGAGCAACATATATGATATATTTTCTACATTAGCTACGCCAGCAACCATGACCTGGCATTGGCTGGGAACTCTTGATTCACCTCAGTCAGAAGCTCGGTAATGTAAAATATCTCATTAAAGAATTAGAAGCAGAGAAATAATCGATATTCTTATTAAATCGCCATACAAAGCCATAGTTTTCTATTTGAACAACACCTTCGAAGCACGCAATGACGTCAAAAATCAGGGCGCTGGACAAATCCGAGTCTGCAATGAAAAGAACAACATGGCGCCCAAATTTGACAAAATCGCAAACTTTGACAAGCAATTTCTCCTTTACTATTAATATTTAGACCGAAATACTTGAGGAACATTCTAATAAGGGTAAGACCTTTCATATAAACCACACTTGTATTTGGACTGGAGTTCCCCTTTAAACGGTGTTTAGCCGCTAACCAGCGTATAAATGTCTTATCCAGCGGATAGTTAAACGGCCAATAAAATTGCGTTGTACGAAGTCCGTTTAGTACCGCGTTTAACTATCCGTAGGATAACTTTTAATTTAACCGGAGAAAACCGGATTTTCTTGAAATTTCTTACCTCTACGTCAGCTGTTGCTATAGGCCTTTGTAAACTTTTGAAGCTTTATCTAACTTGTGAATTCCAGCTTTTGCAATAAAGTTTGTTGTTGTTTATATTTGGAGTTTGCTCGTCCATTCATTGCTGCAAATCCATATCAAACTTTTCATTTTCATATTGTGCTGAGTTTCTCATTCACTTAAATTCACTTACGGATATTTCTTTAAAGATTTTTGGCTTCTTTATGCAATAGATTTTTGGCTTATTTATGCAATAGATTTTTGGCTTCTTTATGCTTCGAAGGCAATAGCAAAAGCTGTGAGTAGTGTTTGGCTTTTGTCAGTTAATTCAGTTTTATACTGTTTGAAATGTGTTCCTCGACCTTGCACTTTTGTTCAAAACAATTTTAACAACATTTTGTCCCAAGTTTTAATTGGCTGATCAATGCGATTAACGCGAGCGAACAAAATTTTTTCGACTTTCGGCGTCTTGTTGTCTATTTTGTATACTTGTTGGCTTTCCAAAGGGCAAAGTCATTGTTTGTTTTAAAATAGCTAAAATTGGTAGTCTTACTGCTTGTTTTCAAATTATATAATAGAAGAAAAGAAGGAGAAAAAGCAGGAGTATACTTAACGTCTAAACACTGACACTGGTTTGCGTATTAAAATATAGCAAGCCACGGAATTTAATACAAGTGAGCAAGTGACCTCAGTTCTCAAGACCAAACCAGTTGAAAGTGAGTTTTTCATGTTTATTGGATTTAAGAAGATAACTCCTCTACATAATTGTGCATTTCTTTAACTATCCCATGCTCTTTCATCCGAAATAATCATTGTTTTATCTTCAAACGCCGAGTTTATCCACCGTATAGCGATTTAAACGGTCTCAAGAGACCGTACAAGTTTACACGGTGGATAGGCAAAATTTAATCGGTGGATAGCGCTAAACGGGCTTCATACAACGCGATTTCTCGAGCGTTTAAATTTTATCCGGCGGATAGCGAGTTAAACGGTGGATAGCGACTTAAACGCCTTTCGTACAACCGGCCCCTGGAGTATAAAATCTTGTACTTAACCTGAATAGGCTTATTTATAAAATATTAGTTGTACTAAACGAAACTAGATATACTTTTTTACGCAACCATAAGTTCAGCGTAGTAATAAGGCATTCAAATTCCAACAATGGCTTGATTTTAAAGGGTATAATTTTTTTGAGACACCCTGTATAGCTATTAAAAGAGAACTCAAAGGGGATAAGCCGCTCAGGCCTTAAAATATCGGTCGCGGTCACGGACATTGTCCGACCCATTCATGAAATTGTACGACGTAGTGAGGAAACCACCGGACATTCTGTCCGACCTAAATGAAACTGAGGTGTATTGTTTGTCCGACCCGAGTGAATTGGTGTCCGACCGAAATGTAGCTTTGTCCATCGTAAATCAAAATGTACGCTAGCCAACACTAGAGCAGAGGCTTGTACGTTAAATGGAAAATTGGAGTACTATTGTATAGAAGGTGATCTGGAGATACTGTTTTAACGTATAGTCGAGCGCGGGGCGGCGAGCGAAATGGTGCAGTGGAAAACGGGCTTAAGTTATCAAAATCTTTTTAATTAAAACTGCTGTTCTGGAAAGGAAGTTAATTTTGGCTTGGAAATAAGAATGAAAGGAACAAATTATTTAATATCTTCACAACATTTACCGTTCAGAATTAATACATTGTGCTGATATTCATTTGTGTCATTCAGACATATTTCCAAGTCAAAACTGAACTGAAGGTCACCGAACATATGTCCGATCCAAACTCAACGTCATCGGACATTTTGTCAGACGACCCTGTAAAAGATATTTTAAGGCTCTGGATGAGCACGAACGGGACTTGGGGGGAAGGGGAAACATTAGGCTTTTAGCTAATTAGACTTTTAGACAGAAGGTCTTATGCGATGTAATACACGTTGTATGTTTTCCAGATGCGAGAGTTTGTCTGCAGGAGCACATTCTCAATCAGCTTGGGCAAAAGTTCCACTCGCCATCCAAAGAGTAAGAAAACTATGCTTTAAAAGTGCATATGAAACGAAAAGTTTTATTGTCTTACTTAGAAAACTATAACAAGTACGATCGTACTACCGGGCCAGGTACTGGCCCGGTTGATATGTCGCGTCGTGCAAGTTATCACTTCGTTGATTCATCCATCCATCGGGTAGAACCGACTTCTACTCACTCGCGAAGCGAAATTTTTTTCGCGAAGCCCAATTTATCTTTCCTGCGCATGCACATGATTTCATTTCGTGCGAAATATTTCGCATTTCGCCGAGAGAAAAATCTCGTGGAATCACGCCTTTACATTGGCAGCGTTCGCTTAAATATTTTGCTTTATACCTGCAAATCGCATTACTTTGATGTAATTAATGTATTTCTTCGCGTAGTATTATGTGCAAACAATTAATGCTTTTAAATATTTGTTCAGTGAAAATGCTTAAGTGCGCAAAGAATTCATTCTTGGCCATGCACATATATTAGGGTGGTTCAATACAGCTTTAAAAAAATGGAAAATTCACGAATTAGATGCGTATTTTAGGACAATTATTACTTGTTGATAAACAAAAGTACCTTACTTGTATAAAACAACATCTAAAGAATTCGAATTTTTGCACAAAAGTTACGCAACTGCCGTTGCTATGGCAACAATGACGTGTCAAAATGGCGGATATTTTGGCTTTAAAGTAATTTAACTCGTAAACGACATCAGTGACCCCCCAATTTCATTTAAAAAATATGATTTTTCTTAGTATATTGAATCACGTTGACAATTTAAAAAAATTCTGTTGATCCGAAACTTTTAAAATTCCGTAAAAATGATTATTCATAATAATTTTTTTGGCTCGATAGAATGTTATCGAGATATATTATTTTGTTTGCTATACGTATCATCCTTGCTACGTATGAACAATTGGTTTTCATATTCGGAAAGATCAGGAATTCAGCTATTGAATGACATGCTTTTCATACCAAGTGGAGAAAAAATTAGCATGTACGAGGCCGATTAAAATGTCAGTCGAAATTGCATATTTTCATGCACCTCCGTGTCTAATTAAAACAATGCATAACAAAAGAAAAAGCATGCAATTCATCACGAACGTGTCATGACTTATCTAAGATTTATTCCTACTTAATAATAATTATGAATATGTGCGTCGTTTATTGAAGTGAAATTCATCAACTTAAGTACCAAAGTGGGTTCATTTTCAATGGTTTTAGACCCAACTCTCAACGGTGAAAATATGCGATTCTGACTAACATTTTCTATCGGATTCGTTATATTCGCTCATTTTTTATCCAATTTGGCACGACGAAGATATCATTCAACAGCTAAAACATGATCTTTCCGTATGTGAAAAAATCTCGTTCATTCGCATAGGAATTCAGATACAACAGCGCGCTGAAGTTCGATTATGTTTTTTTTAATACACTTTGTATAGTTTTTATAGTTCTTTTAAATAAGACAGTTCAATTGTTTCATATGCACTTTAATCCCTTCATGTTTATATTTCTTTTTGTTCAATGTTTTGTTAGTTAATTAGCAATTGTATTCTTCTTATCATAATTTCACATTCAAACTCACCAAACCACATCATTCGTTTTCTCAGATTCCACATGTTCACCTAGCAAGAGATTCGGTTCGAAAATAAACCAGAACATGGTTGAAAAGAATACAAGACAACAGGTAGAGAGAAGTAAATTTGAAAGTGCTGGGTATAGTGGACATAACAACCTGAATGTGTCTATCGCTGAGAAAGCAAAAGAAGATGATCTACACGTTACGTCTCCTGTCCAAGGTTAGTCTTGTTGCAAACGTTTTGCTGACAGAAAGATGCATGTTTATAATTCCTTGTGGACCTGCTCACATGCGGTAACGTTATTTATAGTGGTTAACTAAATCAATTTCCGCTGGTTTGGCAAAAATACCAAACTACCTTATTATAGGAAATTAACGATGCACTTTATTAACGCGACATAAATTAACGTTTCATCTAATTAACGCGAATTGCTTTCAGGTACTTCTAAAACTGATTAATCTGACAGTTTATGGTTAACAAGTTAATTTAACTAACACGAGTCGAAGAATATAAATTCAACAGCAAAAGTTTAATATTATATACTACCAATTAAAACAGTACGCGAGTAGATATATCAAAACTTTAACGTTGAAAGTTACGCCAATGTATATAAATATGTAGTTTTTGTTTTGAGGTTTAATATGAGTAAAAAGAGTTTGTGTTATATAAAACAAATCACGGTTTTTTTAGTTAACGATAACTAAAATTTGCATGCTTGAAATTAACGACAACATAAATTAACATTAATTAAATTAATGCAAATTTTTAATTAAAATCCGCGTTAATAAAGTGCATCATTAATTTCCTATAATAAGGTATGTTGCGTCAGTGTTAATGTACAAGATAACAGGGCTATTTGGCCAAAACCTGTGATGTTACGTGAAGTAAAACTGCAGTCTTTTTTCTGACATGCGGCTGTGCAGGAATCGAACTCCGATTAATTGATTCCACGAGAGTCATTGAGTATAATCGGCTTAATCTAAAGGCGGGTTAATTATATTTAATAATTAACTCATATCTTCTACATTTAAATATCTTCGAATTCATTCTGTGATTAACACCATAAAATATAAAGTATAAACACTTCCTTTAGTGTGCGAATTTGGTTGAGTGCACACGAAACTGTAGCTAGAAATCTAGTCGGACAATGTAATCCATTGTAAATATGTAGTTTTCATTGCCTGAGCCTGCAAATTTGGGAAGTGTTCGGTGATGAACAAAATAAGTATTATCCTCGTAAATTTCCTTCTATATAGGAAACAAAGAAAGGAACAACCACAGTTCATCAAACTGGTTGGCACAAAGAGAAATTACGTTTGGCCGAGACAACAACGCAAGCTTCCATAATCGTAATGGAGAGTCACTCGTGTGACATTCACGTTAATAATTGTAGTCATTTTAATGCGCTATTATTAGTGTTACCTACAATGTCGTGCAAAAATTATTGAGAGAACAAAGTTGTTGCCCCTCCCCCCTCCCTCCCCCCACCATAAGCAATGTTGGACAAACGATACAAAGGTATATTGTCAGGTCATATTTTTTTTTCAATATTGTATATAGGGGGAGGGAGAGAAGTAGTCACGGAAATAGAATGAATGGAATAATCTTCCGCCATTTGTTAAAGATTCTAGTAGCTTTTTAGCTCATTTAAAAACAAATATGTCTCAGTATGTAATGAATAACTTGTTATCTTAGTGTTTTTAGTGTGGACTTAGTTGACCATTTAATTAACTTTTGAACTTTCTTAGGATTTCTAATTAATTAATTTTCATAATCTTGTTGCATGCTGTATTCTGTTTGGAGTAGATATATATTATAGTCTGAATAATTATAATTATAGTCAGTACTTTATGTAAATAATTATTTCCTTCTTATTTGAGGACCCTTATGAAAACCATCTTTGATGATAAGGCTTCCTCACAAAAGATTGTTTAAAAAAATAAGAATGAAATATCAAAAATCTCATTATTTTTGCACGAGATTGTTGGTAACAACCGTTTTGCATTCGCGACTCTGGGAATCGTTTGGTAATATTTAATCAGCCTTACACTCTATAAGGCCCGTTTTATCGAATATTGGTCACGTTGAATGCAATTAAGACAATAGATAATGGGATTATAAACCTCATTAAGCTTTATTATCTATTGTTTGAATTGCATTAGACGCGACCGAAATTCGACGAATAAAACGGGTCTTAGAGAGTTTGGTAAACACAACACCAACGGCAACGAGCTCATCGGCAATAGCATCTTAACTCTAAGACAAAGGCGACCATAATTTGCAGCCCTTAAGCATTCTAGTTGATGAAATCTTTGTCACACCATTGAAAATTATCGATATCATTCTCATCAACATCATACATCGCCGATTCGGAAAAGACCAAATCCGAGCTGCTTATTTATAAATTAAAATATGTTACTGCAATGCACAATTCTTATATATGGGGAGCTTATACATCAGACAACATTTTGGGTCAGTGGTAACCAAGTATTTATTGTTAATTATAAACATGAAAATAAGCAAATATTAATAAAGCACGTTCAGATAAATAAATATTTACATGTTAACATTTTAAGCTATTGGCTCAATATTGTATAGTGGGTTTATATTTTGGGGCGGGGGAGGGGGTTATATTTAGGGGGGGCTTATATTTAGAATTGTGTGAACGTTAGTTATGTGATGATCGGTTTATATATGCATTCGGAGGGGGGGAGGGGGTTATAATCGGAGGTTTACGGAAACTTATTATTTTCGCTGTTTAATTAATATGTTTTATACGATATAGTATTTTATATAATAACCTCAAGAATTCATGCGATTTCATTTATCGAGAGCCATGATCTATTAGAGGACAGACACACGGAATTACGTCATTAGTTTTTAAAATGTCCAAAATATTTGAAAATTCCACTGAATTTATGCAAATTGAATGAATTCATGCAATTGAATCTATAAATATCAATAAATACCTTCGATAAATGTGCAATAATTACTTACAAAAGCCAACAACTCGGCAAATCTCAATTCAGTCATTCAGCTGCGACTTCAAATTCAATCCAGTCTTCGAATCCAAATACTATTTGAATCATTTGACTCTTTCGATGTCATGTTTTCCAGCTGGTTTCTTCACTTTGTGCAACATAGGCAATGTTTAAGTGCTTTTCAATAACAATAGTCGCTCAGGGCTAAATAATTGCCTTTTATCACACGTTTTTATTCCTTTAAAACAATGTTTTTACACTGTTTTGATAAACTTTTAATTTTTCCTTATTGGATGCAATATTACCGTCTAGCGCATTCTAAGCTTAGCCAATCAGAATTCAGCACGTGACTTAAGCGAGCCAATAGCATTTCGTTATTTGTATAGATCATGAACGCGTGATGTTTGCAAAATTTCGACTTCCAAATGTTTGGGGGAATAAAAATAAACTGTTTACCTGTTTATTCTGGAATTTTTCAATTTTATTGTGTAAAACAAGTGGATTACATTTTCCCGTTGTCTGTTCAGTTATAGACATACAGTATGACGTCATATGTGGTAAGAACAAAAAGCGACCACCCGCCTAGGCGGCGCGTGGACACTTTTCTTTACCAGATATGACATCATACTGTGTATCTACAATCTCGTTCCTAGAGTTTGCTTGTTCGTGGATTATGTAGTGGCATGTCTCTGGGGAAATCGAATCGAAATCGTTATTTGATTGGCTGCTGGGATCATCAATGCTGCCGACACAATTAATGCGTGTTTTTTGCGAGAATTACGCGTGGACATACGCGAAGAGAGAATTATCAATGTTTATCAGATTTGGAATGCGAAATCAAACAATATAAAACGAAGGATATAATATTAATCGTATGAAAAATTATTGGGACGTTGGGTATATACTTACAAAATCGCATGGTATTTATGAAGGACTTTTTATCGATCTACAGTATGAGTATATTGTATGTGGAAACGACGGCGTAACAAGTTTCGTAATATTCCATTTAATGATATAAACCATGAAAGAATTGGCTAAGGAATTGGCTCGACACAAGTAATTATAATTACAAACACAATGTACTGTTTATATTTAAAGACGATATGTGCTCCATGTATATATGTTAATGTAATATAGGCTAATATAAAAAATGTGGTTATAATGTTAAAATATGATATATAATACCATGAGCCTCTGAATATAAGCCCTGGGCTTATATTCTTTTGTAAGCGATTTTTGAAGGGCTAAAACAAGGGGGGGGGGGGGTATATATGGGAGCGTTATGGACGATCTTTTGTGTTTACTACTTAAGTCAGTCATAAACAGGAAAATAAACATGCATTAATATGCTTTGGTTAACAGTTTTTAAATATCGTTATCTGCTACATTTATGTTAAAAGACAATGTCAATGTTGAATAACATGGTGGGCTACTGGGTTTATATTCAGGGGACTTATGTTTGGGAGGCTTATATTTGGGATGAGGTAAGTGTTATATTCAGAGGTTTACAGTATACAGTTGAAAAAGCTTGTATTTTCTTGTCATAGACACACAGGGTTCTCAAGTCGATCCAATGGTAATTTGATATCGCTGCCATCATCATAGTATAGTGTAGCACAGAAAGGCCTTGTATCATGCGTGCAGAAATGCCTTGGTCATTCAGTTTAGCCACTCGATCTTGCATCACAATAGAATTAGTTACGCCAAGTAACATGTCGTACACGTCAGGTAGCAGCTGAAATATTTTAATGTTTATATTGTAATTTTTATATTGTAATGTTTTACCCATACCTAAATCTAAGACAGTTCAAATCTTAGAAAAAGATCTCAGACCTATCTCACTGACCCCGAGCATATCCAAAGTAGCTGAAGAATGTGTGGTAAATAGATATATCAAAACTGCGGTTCTGAAATCCATCGACTCAAATCAATTTGGTTCTATTCCTAATTCTTCAACCACATTTGCTTTAATAGACATGTTACATCACAGGACCTCAATGCTGGACGGAACAGGAGCAACTATCCGAGTGTTTCTATTTGACTATAAAAAGGCATTCGATTTCATCGATCATAGTATCCTAAGGATCAAGTTAGGTGCTTTAGATTTACCAACTAGTATCATCAACTGGATTATCGACTTTTTATCGGATATATATCAAAGGGTTAAGCTGTCAAATAGTTGCCTTTCTGAATGGGGCCAAGTACCGGCTGGTGTTCCTCAAGGAACCAAATTAGGCCCTTGGCTCTTCTTAATAAAGATTAATGATTTGAAGAAACATAGTGAGAACTTATGGAAATACGTTGACGATACCACGGCGTCGGAAGTTGTATTGCAAGGCGAGCACAGTGAAGCTCAACTGATTGCAAATGAAATTTTAGATTGGTCGAATATCAATAGAATGCAATTAAATACTGATAAATGTAAGGAGATACGAATTTCTTTTGCACGGAATCAACCCGAGCTTAACCCAATTACAATTGAGAATCAAATCATAGAAGTTGTATCCGATTTTAAAGTGCTAGGTCTTAACATTAGCAACAACCTTACGTGGAATAAACATATCACTGAATTAGTCAAGAAAGCCTCCAAAAGGATGTATTTCCTTATTCAACTTAAGAGAGCAAAAATCCCAATACAAGAACTAATCACATTTTACATAACCTGTATAAGACCTGTGTTGGACTATGCTGTCCCGGTTTTCCACTACAGCCTACCCAAGTATTTAAGTCAAGATTTGGAACGAGTCCAGAAACGCGTATTTGGAATTATTTATCCCCATTTGAAATATGAGGAAGCTTTAAATCTCAGTGGAATTGAACATCGCTCCACTCACCATCAAAACAGCTGCAAGAAATTGTTTAATGCAATTATCAAAGATTCTAATCACAGTCTACATTACCTCTTGCCGCCAAGGCATAACTCCATCCACGACCTGAGATCTATTAGATCATTTGACGTTCCAGTTTGTAAAACCGATCGGTTTAGTAATAGTTTTATTATGGCATCGAGTAGCAAAACTGAATAGGTTTTACTTTTCATTTACCTATTTTATATTATTAATAACTTTTGCATGCTTATTATAAACAGACACTTTTGACAATGGACAACTTGCATGTTAGACTAAATTTTAATCTAAGCATAGAAAAGGGAATCAAACACCACAGCTAAAAAGAACATACTGAAATTAGTAAAAGTGCAAAATGTGGCTGCGAAATGTTGTAAAGCTTGGAAAATATAGCCTTGCAAAGTTTGCATATTTTCAGTATATTTGTATTACGAGTGGAAATTGTTACCATTTTCGGCTCAAAAATGGTAACAATTTCCGCACGTAATACAAATATACTGAAAATATGCAAACTTTGCAAGGCTATATTTTCCAAGCTTTACAACATTTCGCAACCAAATTTTGCAAGTTTACTAATTTTAATAAGTTCTTAACGGGAATTTACTTTTTTTTTTGCCTAGATCGGTTAGATAAAAAATTTGTCTAACATGCAAGTTGTCTATTAGTTAATTAATTATAATACTTTGATATATTTCAAAACTCTAATTTTAATAATTTTTAATTGTAAGTATAATACGCAATTCAGCTCATAGCTGCAATGTATTTACCATTTCTTAAATAAATAAATAAAGTATAAAGTATATCACTATTTGCCATAATAAGCCCACAGCCTGTTGGCAAAACGACCAAAACATATTCACCATTTTACAAATGGCCGAGTCCCGCCGAAATACAATGTCTCATCTTTTAACGAAACTTCAAGGCCTCTTTTCGCCATAGCAGCTTTAATAGCTCTTTCAATATTAATTTTGCCATTGAATATAGTTTAATAGTAGTGTGATTTAACGCACCTTTAAAGCGCGAATTTAGTAAGCGGAATAAACAAGAGCAATAAAAGCGCATGCTCCATTTATCTCATCAGTTTGAATAAATTTAAATTCGATTTCCCCAGAGTCATGCCACTACATAACACGCGAACAGGCATACTCTGGGAACGAGATTGGTGTATCTATAACTGAACAGACAAGGGTTAAATGACTGTAATCTATTTGTTAAATAGACATTTATACACATACACACACATCAACACATATAAAGGCTGTGGGAAAGTTCTATTTTTATCTAGAATCTACTCATCAATCTCAGAGCCAGAATAGTAGTCTCCTACGCATACCTACTTAGCGGGCTGTGCCCTCACGTAAGGTATGCTTATTTTGGCCAAGAATTCATTTCCTCAAAATTAGCCAATCACAGCTTTATCCACGAAAATTGTGGGGCTTGACCTTTAACCTTGAGGCTTGGATCTTCGAAAGTTTCAAAACATTTACTGTAATCTTGAACATTTCATATCTTCATTTGTACGTATTCATATCTTAGGGGCTGATTACATGGTGCCGAGCTGGCCCGGTTAACCGGGCTGACTCGTTTGTTTAGGACCTTACTGTGGTTTTAAAACTCGCGTAAAATGGGTTTGCGATAAATAATTGGTTTATTATAGATGCAAAATCATCCTAAACCCGATTTAAAACTCATTTTGCGGCCCAAGGAAGATTTTCGTGACATTTTTCAGCCCGGTTAACCGGGCTGGCCCGGTCCATGTAATCAGCCCCTTAAACCGATTATCTGCGAGTGCTGAGAGATTATTTGTTATACATATACCAGTCCACAAATTTACAAAATGGAACAATTGTAAAATCTGTTAGAATTTGTCGAGCTATTGTTTTGAACAGACAGTGTAGTAAAATCGAACAATATCACCTAAACTATATCGCGATGTTTTGATTACTTTACAAGCGTTTGCAGGTTACTGTTACACGGGTAATATCCTAATATACTGGACAAAGACGTCAAGACAAAGTTATAAAGTTACAGCGTACAATACTGCGGGTGTAGATAATAGATTTATAAATACTAATTGAAGATTACAGAATTCAGCCTATATGAAATACTGAATTGATTCATTGCATATTTCGGTTTCCATGTTTGTATATGACTAGCCAGTTTATAAGTACTAGATAAAACATGAGCATTCGATCTGTATATCTGATATACAAACTCGAGCCGAAGACGAGTTTGAGTTCATTGGCGAAGTAATTTTAAAAATAAACATTGCCTAAGCCGAGAAAATCAAAGCTGAAGTTTATGTAAATCAGGACAAATCTTTATCCGAGCATTGATTAAACATTCATTTCTTTAGTATTTTCGTCGTGAATTATTAATGAATCGTAATTACAAAAGTCGCTCTGATATTGAACGTTCGGAAACTTATAGTATATATTGAATATACATGCCGTCACGCAGTCGCGTCAAGTTCAAAACAAGTATTACCAGTGAATAGTTTTATATACATTTAAGCCTTCGACCTATCGCGTACATTCATTGGAAAAATATTCAATATTTTCTACTTCGACTGCTATTGATCAGAAAACTCGATCTGTTCACATTTATGGCCATTTAAATACATATATATTATTATTGGCCATTATTCGATTATCGCACGCTCCTTGTTTACACTTTACAGTTGACATTCAAAGTGGGCGTGTTGAACGCTATTGGCTAATGGAATACAATGGGAAGGCGAATTGCTAGCCAAAGTAAGCAGACCGTACGTGGCGGGCCCAAACCCGCTAAAGTAGGTCTGCATAGGAGACTACCAGAATAGGAGACATATGAAGATCTTGAGGAATTAGTTGTCTTCTGACAAGTCATGGTGGCGTAGACTGGACAACAGGACCTAACAAATAATCGTATCATGCACATTCTTTCACACATTTTACCCACTGTAAATAATCAAGCATTGTGTACATGAATAAAATACATGCATCCCGAAACCCCTTCAAGCTGCTCCATTTACTGTTCGGAGTACTCCAGATTTTCGGAACACTTAATGGAATGGAACAGAAGATAGTCACATGACTGTTCTGAACTGTTCTGACTACCCCGATTTTCGAGTAGGGGCAGCCAGAACAGACACGTGACACTGCCTATTTTCACGTGATTGTAAATCAGGCGACATATTTTGTGTATCCAATGCACACTGTATAGAGCGTTATTTTGAAGGGTTAAACGCTATATTTCGACATATACTTATCATATGCTATTTGAACGATACGGTTGGGAACGACATAATTTTGTTAATATTTTTATAAATAAAAAATCCCGTATAAATATCGAGCACTTTTAATTACAAAATTATCAATTCCCCAAACATATATATGTTAGGTATGATATTATATGTATTATAAGCTTCAATTTAAATTAAGAAGGCTCCCTACAGTTTCCAATATATGTCAGTGTTTTAAACTAAAAGCTTTTTGAATCTGAAAAACTTACTAATTTTTTGCACAACCCACTGTTTCCTCTTATATAAAAGAGTGATTTTAACCCACAATCGCTACTCTTCATGTTACCATGACAGCATGATGTCACCATCTATATGGTCTATATCAACCAAAAAAGCCGTCTTAGCGGACAAATTTTTTATTGCTGAAAATACATTGTTATGACGTTTTGAATCTTTTTTGAAAATTATTCGAAATTGCCAGTATGGACAACATGGCGTCCAGTAGCACGGCCACGAGTAGCTGGCAAGATGCTTTTAACTTAGATCTATTGAGCGATAAGGATATTGAAAAGTATCTATTTAGTAATAATAAAGGAAATCTAAAGTGGTATGGCGATTTTGTGTTGCTACAAGAGTTATTTGACCATCTATTACAACATCAGTTAATCTGGTCGAAACCAGGCAGTTATTGTAGAAAACTCGAAGGAGACGGTTTTACAATTAGATGGTACTCCGATAACGGCACGCTGACAGTTAGCGAAGCGAAGGAGGAAAAGATTAAAAGATATCTTCAACACATTTCGACAAAAGAACCAGACTCTATTATTGATATATGTCGGTAAGTCACTCAGATAAACATGATATCGATGGGGAAAACCTTAATGTCAATGACGGCGTATCGCAGTATGAAACATCATTGAATCACGGCAACGAATCAGACAAGACAAATATAGATAGCCTGTCGACTATTTTAATTTTGAAGAAGTTAAATCTGTTGAACGGAGATTGGACCGAAAAATTGATGATATTGCTCTCGACATACGTAGAATTAAAGAAGCAGACAATTTCAAATCCCCCTTGTCACGCGATCAAGTTAAACACATTACGGAAGAAAATATTGCACTAAAAGCTGAAAATGCTGCCCTGAAAGAGAAAGTAGATTATGCAGTGTTGGTAATGTCCGATTTAAACACAAAATTAAAACTTCTCGAGGAAGAAAAGCAGAGCTTGATTACGGCATTAAATATTCTTCAAGTTAATGAATTCAAAAGCAACACACAAAACCCGGGACAATATGTATTAGCTAATATACAAAACGAGAAATCACAGCCTGAACAGCTTGAAATATCATCGGATAGTGAATATAATATTCCACTAGCAAATAGATATTCTACATTAGCTGACGAAGGCAAACTGAATGAAGATGAAAGTGAACAAACTACCCAACAGCAAGGGCAAGCGTCTGTAATTACAATGGAGTTAAATGTTCAACAACAACAACAACAATCTACCTGCAATCAATCATCTGAGCAATGTAACTCGGACGTGCGGGTTGATAATCAGCAAGGTCAATTGCGTGAACCTGCATCTAATGAACCACCTAATAATGGCAACTCCAAAGGCACCAAGCAAGCAGAAATGGCAAAGACGAAAGGTCGCATTCGGCCTGTTGACTCTAGGAACAGTGTCAATCAAGGTACCAGTAAATCTAATAGCGATAATGAAATGGGAAGTCAAGGTAAGAGTACACTTGTTATTGGAGACTCAATGATTAAAGAAATCGAAGTCAACAAACTTTCCAGATCAAAGAAAATTACCAAAATTTGCATGCCTGGAGCTAAGTCAGATCAAATCAAAGAAAGACTGCAGACTACTTTAAAAAGTACCCATTATGATGAAGTCATAATCCATGCAGGGGTTAATGACCTGTCAAATTCCCAGCCAGACCAGATTATCGTACAGTTAACAGATATGGCTGCTTCTGTTAATTCCTCAACCAAAGTTTCAATCTCCAGTATAATTACGACCAGAGATAAGGATAGAAATAGCGCAATAAATTTAATAAATAGTGAACTCAAAATTACTTGCCAAAGTCGAGGATGGGTTTATATTGACAATTCACGTATAGGCAACGAACATTTAAAATTTAATAGTATCCACTTGAATCGAGTGGGTGTAAAATTATTTGCCTCAAACATTATACGTCAATCTCTCAGGCCTGGATCAAATAGGAGATCAATGACCAAACCTGAAAATTTTCCGAACACTGTGTGGAGACTTGCAAAAGCACTGAACATGATTGCTCAGATTCCATAATTCATAATATATCCAATAATACTAATTCAAATAGTACTAATTTGAATAACTTAGATGATACAAATCCATATAATTTGAATATAAGCAATACGAATCTATCGGAAGATCCTTTCATACATAAAAGCCTGCCCACGATGGCTGACGGGGCTTCTTTTCGGGGTCAAGCAGGGGAAAATAATAACGATCAACGGTTACTGAATGAAATGACTAATACTAGAGGCTTCAAAATTGCTGCCTTGAATATCAATAGTTTACCAGCACATATTGATGAATTAAAGGCATATATGTGCTCTGGGTGCATAGACATTCTCGCAGTTAATGAAACCCGTTTAGATCAATCTTTTCCAAATAATTTAGTTTCCATACCAGGCTATAATTTAGAAAGAAGGGATAGAAATAGAAATGGGGGAGGCATTGCATTTTATATAAGAGATGTTATTAATTATGAGCTTATGCATGAATTAGCTCAAGATCCACTTGAGTGGCTATGTATCAAGGTACAAAAACCTAAATCCAAACCATTCATCGTTGGTACTTGGTACAGACCCCCTTCTTCAACCACTGACATTATGAATAACCTCGAATTATTAATTAAGAAGTTAGAAGTACTGGATATTGAAATTAATATTATAGGTGATTTTAACTTTGATGTAGGTGCTTCTCCTCCTAATGCACCTACTAAGCATTTCTTGGATCTCTGCAACTTATACCAGTACCATCAACTTATTAAAGAGCCTACTCGAATAACCGAACGCTCTTCAACTACAATTGATTTATTTATTACTAATAATCCAACAATGTATGTGAAATCTGGAGTTTGCCACATTGGTATTAGTGACCATTCACTTGTATATGCAATTCGTAAACTTTGTGTATCTAGAAAGGATCCTAGAATAATTCGCAGCAGGCAATTTAGAGATTTCAACGCAAATTCATTTAGATATGATCTCAGCTTAGCCCCGTGGCATATCATTGAGGAGTACGAAAATGATCCAAATCTTGCTTGGGATGCTTGGAAAACTATATTCCTGAAAATATCTGATATTCATGCACCCAAACGGAGTAGAAAAATTCGAAATAAGCACTCTCCTTGGTTAACCCCAGAACTTAAGAAATTGATGTTTGAGAGGGACCGACTGAAAAGAATAGCAAGTAAACATGATATTGAACACAACTGGTCCAAGTATAGAAGTGCACGAAATAATGTTAACAGATGTATTCAAGATGCCAAAGCTGCATATTATCACAATTACTTTAGAAATAGCTTTGGTGATATTAAAAACACATGGAAAGGTGTGAATGAGCTTATGGGTAAAAATTCCCATACCAATGTAATAAGCAGCATTAAAGTTGGTGACTGTAACTACACTTCTTCAAGTGACATAAGTAATGCTTTTAATAACCACTTTACTCAAATTGGACCTAAATTAGTTAATAATGTTCCCACCTCAAACTCTAACTTTGAGCAATATATTACCACTACCGATAATAATTTTTCTATCACTGAGACAAATAATACAATTGTGTACAACTTGATCCAATCACTTCCTGTAAATAAATCTACTGGTTTAGATATCATGCAAGCTATTAAAAGAAGCTTCGCCAATTGTTTTTTCATCCTTAACCCATATAATAAACTTATCCATAAGAAATGGGGTATTTCCCAATGATTGGAAAAGAGCTAGGGTAATGCCAATATATAAAGAAGACACAAAATTAGATCCTGATAATTATAGACCAATATCTATCTTACCGATTGTCAGTAAAATAATTGAAAAGATCGTTTTCTCTCAGTTTTATGGATACCTAATCGATAATAATCTATTGTCTAGTTCCCAACATGGATTTAGACCATTACATCAACGCTTACGACTCTTCTATTATCTACCAACAATTGGTACCAAAATATTGATAAAGGGCTATTTAATGGAATTCTATTACTAGACTTAAAAAAAGCCTTTGATACCGTGGACCATCCAATTTTATTAAAGAAGCTTGAGATGTATGGCGTAGATCCTAATTCTATCAATTGGTTTAGATCATATCTAACAGGTCGCAAACAATGCACAAGCATTAATGGCACATTGTCTAGCTTGCTACCTGTTACTTGTGGGGTTCCTCAGGGATCGGTGCTTGGGCCCTTATTGTTTCTAATTTATATTAATGATTTTCAAGCCTGCCTCTCTACATCGTCCCTTATGATGTATGCTGATGACACATGTTTAACTGTTAGTTCTAACGATCCAAAAGACCTAGAGCTTAAACTAAATAACGAACTTAGAAAAGTGCAAACGTGGCTAAGGGCTAATTAATCCTAGGAAGCCAAGCGAGATTAAGTAATCTGAATTATCGCTTTAACATTCAAATTAATGGACAGTCTATAGAAAGAATGTATTCTTATAGATATTTGGGACTTGAAATTGATGAATCATTAAATTGGCAAGTACATATTGAAACCATTTGTAAGAAGATAAGTGCAAGTCTTGGGGCGTTAAAGCGGATTCGAACTTTTGTACCCCAAAACACATTGATCCTGATGTATAAAGCCTTAGTGTTACCTTACTCAGACTATTGTAGTGAGGTTTGGGGCTGCCTAGGTAAAACCCTCTCTGAAAAACTTCAAAAACTGCAAAACAGAGCCGGTAGGATAATAACCTTCTCCGATTATGACGTAAGATCAGCTGGTATACTACACAGTCTTGGTTGGGAAACTCTTGACCAACGTCGTGCTAAACAGCTCACAACAAGTATTTATAAAGCAGTGAATAATTTATATCCCAACGAGCTTAATACTATTTTTGAACCTACCTCGCAAGTCCACTCTCACAATCTTAGAGGTAGTTCGCACAGTATGTTCACCCCTAGACCCAGAACGGAGGCTGGTAAAAGGAGCTTCGGCAACCGTGGGGCTGTGTTATGGAACGATCTTCCGGATGAAATAAGAAGTCAGGCATCAATATATCTTTTCAAAAATAAACTTTCTAACTTTCAAATTTAATACTAGGAGAACTCCAGGAGAACACCATCGCAGTCATTCCTCCTTGCGGATACAAGCCTGAAAACAAACAATCTGTCATCGCCTTGAAGATGCTGGCCTGGATTGCGGAACGTGATAACATTGCAATTCGCCACGCCAGGAACCACGGAGAGCAGCGCATTGGCAAGTATCTTGTCGATGGTTTCAACGTTGAGACAAATACTGTTTAGGAAGTCCAAGGATGCCTGTGGCATGGATGCGAAAGGTGTTATGCCAGAGATACCGTGAATCCGATCAACCATATGACCATGCAAGATCTTAAGAGGCAGTCCGTTTAAAAACCGACCACTCGAATTTCTTAAGATTACAGTGTGTGTGGAAGAAGTCATTCATAAAATGAACAAAAAACGTTGACTTTGAAATTGTAGTCAGTTTAAAATTTTTTTTCGCAATTATTTTCGGACGCGTTCGAAAACAAGTTAAAACGTTAATTACGCAAGTGATATTTGAGCTTTTTAATATCTCACAGTTCATCTCGCGCTTTTATCCTAACTTCTTGAAACTTACATATTTTATTATTTCCTGCCTAGGCATAAACCTAAACTAAAAATTATCCTGATTACGTGAAGCAAACAAAATTTTGTGTATTTTTAAAAACGTCTTTCAGACAGCGGATTAAATATTCGTGTTAGTATGCTGGCGGTAAACTATTTTTTCTCAAAAGTGCAACGGTATCAGGTATCCAATCTATTGCAGCTACTGAGTATTATGACACATCTACTAGAATAAATAATAAAATCTTTGGGCAGTGTGTTTTTCGCCTGACAAGCGCGTCATGAATATACTGAGTCAATTTTCGCTAATTCCTCTAATTATAAGCTATAATTTCGTTTTGTATTTAAGTAAATTTTTCGCGTTAAAAACATACAAAACTGTTTACTGTTTCAAATATGGCTGTTTTTTGGATAGAGAGTAAGTTATAAATATTCCAGCAATTATATATGCTTGAAATTTTACGTTTATGGGTATCATTAAATACTACATGCATGGTATATATAAACAAAAATGTACAAGAAAAGTACAGGAAAGGATATATGTGTGCCAATTTATAGGAATGCCTTGAAGGGCACTTTTTTCTGATCATAGACATAGTGCAGATTTATTTTGCCACTATAAAATGAAACAAATATTTTATACATGTTTAATATTTTCATGTTTTTTAAGAACTGTAATTACATGCTGATCTCGGTTAAGGTCCTGTCACACTATTCATGCGTATGAGAGAAACGTATGAGTAGCGTAAACCATGCATGTGCATGCATATGTCCGCATACTCAAAAAAATTTTAACCATGCTTACCTTGCATGGTTCCCCGATTTTTAAATAGACACCTTTATACGATTTAGGACAGCAACGGCCACAAATACAATAAATAATTAAAAAGAATTCAATAATTGCAATATATGAATAATTTAGACATTGTCCTCGCTTTGTTTACAACGCCAAATCACAGATTTCACGTCTTGATACAACGGCTGCATTTCAAGCCGCAACAAGTGCAACTTCAAACTGGCTTCAGCAGAACAGTCTTCCCAAACATAAAACCCATTAAATTCATACGATTGTATTAAATTCATACGATTGCTAATATACCACGATTGTCTTTAGGCCACTATTTGCTGTATATTAGTTTCTCATCCAGCCCGCATGCTTTTTAAGAAAATGGCTTTGTTCGCCATTATTATTGCCATTTTTGACCATTATTATAAATTTTGTGATGTCTTCAAAGTGAAATTTGAAAGAAAGACAATTAGAAACGTTCCCAAACCAAATGTTAGTTAAAATACAAAATTTCATAACCAAACTGCAAGTTTTTCCCGCATTACGTACACACTTATTACATATCCAAACTCAGCTATAAAAGTTCTACCGGAAGCCAGGGGCAGGGGAGAAAAACGCCAGACGTTCTGGGTACAAAATTATGAAAACATGCTTTCAGTTGCACTTACTGATTTTGTGCTGTTTTTCAGAAAGTTGCTATATAAATGCTTAATGCGCACTTCTCCAAAATAAATTTTATGGGGAGGGGAAATCCAGCAAATAATGGCATAATGGTATCGGCCCGCCAGCCCGCATCCACTTTAGGAGAAGCTCCGGATGAGAAACTAATATACAACAAATAGTGGGCTGTAATACTACCATTTATTTGAGGGAGTTTGTTTTGGCCGTCGTCGTCGCGTTGCCGTCCTAAAATCTCTCCTCCGTCCGATCGTTAAATCACTTGCCGTTAGATGCCTCTATATATACACCCTTTAGTTACTGCTTCGACCTTTCAGAGAGATTACGACATGCAGTCTTGGTTCATTTATTTGTTTGAGAATAAGTTTCACTTTCACTTAATATATACGCTTACTATAGCCTACATGTTTCGTCGGTTTTAATATAGCCTAATAGCTCAAAGCAACAAGAAAGAAATTAGTTTTTATTAAAGTTGATTGTTTATAGATTCTAATTTCGTACCTTGTCTCTCTATGCACATGAGAGCAATATAAATGTATAGTAGTACACTCATAGGCGTACGGGATTCATATATCTATTGGAGGAGCTATTATATATATATATATATATATATATATATATATATATATATATATATATATATATATATATATATATACAAGTTGGGTTTGTCCACTTTGCTAGAGTGCTCAACACAGAGATTGTGGAGCGAATTATATTTCGGAATGTGAAATTCAACTAATTTAAAAACATTAAAAAATTAAAAACTGAGTTCATTTACTCGAGTTTCACGCCTATATTGGCGATCATCAGACTACCAATATAGGCGTGAAACTCGAGTAAATGAACTCAGTTTTTAATTTTTATAAATGTATAGTAGTACACTCATAGGCGTACGGGATTCATATATCTATTGGAGGAGCTATTATATATATATATATATATATATATATATATATATATATATATATATATATATATATATATATATATATATATATATACAAGTTGGGTTTGTCCACTTTGCTAGAGTGCTCAACACAGAGATTGTGGAGCGAATTATATTTCGGAATGTGAAATTCAACTAATTTAAAAACATTAAAAAACATTAAAAAACATTAAAAAATTAAAAAATTAAAAAAACATTAAAAAATTAAAAAACATTAAAAAATTAAAAAACATTAAAAAACATTAAATTTTTTAAACATTAATTTTTTAATGTTTTTAAATTAGTTGAATTTCACATTCCGAAATATATATATATATATATATATATATATATATATATATATATATATATATATATATATATATATATATATATATATATATATATATAGCTATATATATCTATTGGTCTATATTGCCCGAAAATATTTGGGCCCATTTCTTGACTTTTCTTTGGGGGATCTTACCCTCCCCCCTCCCCCGAATTCAACAAGTTAAGATTGTAATGATTTTACGATATAAATATACTGTTAAGAAAGCGAAGAAAAACCTGAAATTACGCGTTGACCGACTTCAAGCGATAACGGG